GAACCCTATCAAAACTGGGGTCATCGGCCTTGGGCCGCATCCTGGCCGCTGCGAGTCACTTCTACCAGTGACTCTCAACAGCACACCGACAACGACGCACAGCCAGGCAGCACAAATTTTGGCAACACCACTGCTGCCAATTTCTCACTGTCCTCCGTTTCACTCTTCGGTTCTTCCCAACCGATGACGTCACCGCACGTCATTTTTGCTCCTGGCTACTCGCACAGCTTCAGCTACTTGACGTCTGCCATCTCTCCTGTGGTTCCGGCAGACTGAAAGCCCTGCTTACTCGACTTGGCCTGGACAACCCTGCTTCCGATTTCTCTTCTCAGCTTGTCCCTTCAGCGGTTTATCTGAGATTCACCAGCCATCCAAAGTGGCAGACCTTTTTCTACCTCGGAGCCACTCGCACCTCCCTCATGGCACGGGACCACAGCCGACTTCGCAAACTACTCCAAGTTCAGCGACATCATCTGGTCAATGCCGAACTGGCAGTCCGGTGGTGGGCACATTTTGACATTTTCCACCACTACACCTCGGTGCCCATTCACACTGCCGTTCCAGCAACGGACCTATTTGCCACTGAACAGTTCTACATCCAGGAACTGCAACCGTCTCTCAATTTTGGCTTCATCGAGAGACATTTCCGGCCACGCACGGGCTTCACACGCCAATTGGACTTCTCCCAATCCCGGCACATGGGCTTCGCCACCATCTGGCGAAAACGCCGCCGACTACGACTACCCATCGCCCTACAACAGGCCTTCCTGGCCAAGCGCATGAACAACCGCCTGGATTTGTGGCGATTTTTGGGCGATCTTGGCAGCAACACTCTACGACGATTTGATGCCATCCGTTACATACGGAGCAGAGACTTCCCACCCGCCGCTCTCTATGTCCTTCATCGCATAGCCACACACCTGCCTGAACCACACCACCAGGCATGCCTTTCCGCCATTCGATCCAGTTTACGATTCCGGGGCCTCATTCCACCTGGCCCCTCCAGACCGATGCTTGCACCCTTCCTCGCCCATCCTTCTTTCCGATCCCTGCTTTTAACCCAACTTCGCGGGTTTATTCGATCTACCACTCGCAGCGCTTTACCGTTTCACATGGCACAACCACGCATTGTCTTCAAGGCACATCGGAGACTCTCCAGTGCCTTGTTCTCACATCTCCAGGCAGCAAAAACCTGGAGTCTCGGTGAAACGACCTGCACATGCACCGACCTCGCCCAACGACACCCATCCCTCCCGAAGCATGACGGACACCTTCTTTTCTCCGGTGCAGACACCCATGAGCTGTTCGACTCCGACACTGCCCACATGCTATCCGGATCGATGCGCAACTCCTTCTTTCCTCCACGAGGGGTCTTGATGAGTCGCCTGACCCAGGCATTTCAACACTGGGCCAGGACCAACAACCTACCCGCGCTCGACCCATCAACCCTCACTACTATTGTCGAATTCCATTTCGACCTCCACCTTTCACACACATCACAGTACTTTCTTCACGCCCACGTCCAACGGGCTCTGCATACCCTGGAACCCCTTGTCCGCCATTGCGAAGACCATGCGGACTCCCGACTCATGATCTATTGTCCCGTTCTCTACGGCAAGATGTTGGAAGCCACTTTTGCGGACCCTGCCATCTTCGCCCCTCTGCCGGTCCCTGCCATTGAGATCCACCAACGACTACGAGAAACCATTGTCACCAGATTCCGCGGCCGCTATCCTTGGGCCGTGACCGGATTCGGAAGGCCAGCCAACGCCTACATCCTCCCGAAGAGGAAGAAGAACTGGACCACTGCCCGACCCATCATCAGTTTCATTGGCGCCTTCTTCCGACCCATGCTCGACGCTCTCGCCAAGCTCCTCCACAGCATGGTGGCCACGGCTTGCCCTGACGCGTTTTCAGGTGGCGACCTCTTTGAACTCATGCGGTCCTTGCACGAGTTTCTAAGCCTCGGCCACACCCATTTGGACTACCGAAACCAGGACCTTTCCGGTTTTTTCACCTCCATCGACAAAGACCGCTTCTTAGCAGCCTGGCGACTACTGCTAACCTGGTACCGACAACGACAACCACACTCCTCTACCACACACCTCACAGTGGACACACTTGACACCTCTGCCATCACCCGCGTCTACAACGGACGCCGTCGCCGACACAAACCCACACAACGCACCCTGTGGCTCGACGACATCCCCGAGATCATTCAGGCCACCCTTGACATGCAGATCTTCTCTGTCGGCCTTCGTTCATTCAGGCAAACACGTGGGGCACCGATGGGATCCCCCGCGTCCCCAGCTCTCTGTTTGATGGTGATCGCGGTCGCCGAACAATGTTGGACCAACACTCACACCACATCGGGACTTCGCTCCGTTGAAGATACTCTCCTGCTCCGCTACGTGGACAACAGACTCGTGATCGCAACCCCCAGGTGGCTCTCGACTCCGGCAGCCAACATACTGTGCGACGAACACTTCTATGGAGGAGACATCTTCCTGGAAACAGAAGCCGCCCTGGACTTCTTGGGGTTCCGACTGAACCTCACAAGCAGCACCATCTCCTTCATTCCCTCGCATGAGAAGCACAACATGCTCTCCGTCAAGTCAGCCGCACCAATGATACATAAGGAATCTGGATATTATTCCAGACGCACGCTGATCAGCCGAGTTTCCTTTCCTGAATTTCAGCGAGATCAGGATCTTGCAATGTTGAAGAGGTTGTACCTCCAACACGGTTTCACCTTACAAAGAGAAGAAAAACCGTCCTTTGCGAAACCACACTGGTTTTCTTCTCTGCCTTTGCATCCTGACAGATTTGACCTGATTTTCGTGCCGCAGCTGTTTGACTGTTTGACCAAAATCCGTTGCGAGCATGGATACCAACACAGCACGCCAGCTGCTCCAAGACTTCGAACTCATCCTTGGCATTGCCCAACAAGGCATCGCCACCATCCGCGAGTTCACTGAGAGTCCGACTGCCGAACCTGATTTGGCACCGGAGGCCACGCTCAACCCCGCCATTGAGGACCTGACCAACTCACCACCAACACCCCTCCTGGCCCCCCTCGAGGACCTCTTTGAGCCACCTCCTGATGCTCCAGATGAACACCTTCCCACTGATCATGACGAACAATTCCCTGATCATTGGGCTCCGCCCACTCCTCCTCCGTCTTCTCCCGACAAAAAACGAGCTCGCCGCACACGTGATTTGGCCTCCTCACGATCTACGGCATCCAAACCTGCTCGTGGACCAAGCGAAGCTACCACATCGACCAGGACTGATGCCTCTACTGAGGCCGAACCTGAAGCCTCGCAGCCTTGGACTGAGGGAGAGATTGAACTCCTCCGTTCCCTTAAGACCAATTCCAAAGCCAAGTATGCGTGGTCAGTCATCGCCACAAGACTTTCTCGCACAATTGATGCTTGCAAGACTCAATGGGCCTCGCACAAGTGATGTCGCCCCAGTTGGGGCTCCGTGTGTGTGAAGCGTCCTGGAGCACGGACGGAAATTCCACATTGCAGGGGGACTGGAGCCGATTTGCCTATCCAGTCCAATGAAGCTACGGCATTTCGGTGGATACCGGATCTGATCAATCCGGCGTACCTGCCTATTTCCTGACCCTCTTTCCTGATTCCTTTTGCGGTTTCTGTTTGTCGCTGTTGCTTCCTGTTCGGTGTCGATGTTGTGACCTGTTGATTTGCGTTTGCATTCAAGCATTTTTACTGACTGCGTTTTTCATCTCGGCTAGTGAAGCCTCTCGAGATAAGTGTGAGTGTGCGTGTGTGTCCAACCCTGCGGCCCAGAGGCGCAAGCGCCTGCGGGTTTCACCTTCTGATTTGCAGTCGCTGGCACGTCCGAAAGCATTGAAATCCTGACCTATTTCTTGACCAGGTCCCCTCTCTTCTTTTTTTGGGGTGTTTTCCTTTCCTTGTTTTTCCTCTTTTTTCCACTTTTTGCCTGGTTGCTGGATTCCCTGTGCGCTTGTTCAAATGTTAAGTTTTTGGTTGCGGGTATATGAAAGCAAGAGCCAGGTGAAGCTGAGAGCCAGATGCCGGCCAGCCCCTTCAAAGCAAAGCATTGTATGCCCTACCCAATGCCATAATGGCGGATTGTGTGTGTCCAACCCTGTAGCTAAGGGAAGCGACCTGCGGTTTCCATTTCCACTTCGCCAGTTGCAACCACCAGCAATTTTGAATTCGCTGGAACCCGTTGAAGTCAAGATCACGATGATTTACAACCATTTGAGTTTCTGTGCCTGGAATTCGCTGGAACCCGTTGGAGTCATGCCAGCCCAGAGAGTTCCTGCAGTGGTCAAGAGCTGGCGTCTGATGAGTATGACTTTTAGAGGCCACGAGCAGCGAACCTCTGACGAAACTCCAATTTCGCATCGTGCATGTCCTCCCAGATCAGCCTTTGTGGCGTACTATCTTCCTCCATAAAAAATGGAAAAAAGAGAGGAGCCGGAACAACTTGCTATGTCAGGAGGGGATAGAGCACAAGTGTGTCTTTGTTTATGTGTTTATGCACACATGACTGCATATTATATACAAATATTATTTGTATGTCAAGAGCACATTCTTCGCTGATCTGCCGCTTTGTTTCTTGCGCCGGGGCACACCTGATGTTCATACAACGGCCAGAAGGGTCTTTGCCACGATTGGCCACAGGCGCAACCGTGTGTCAGGGCATAGTTGGCAGGGTGCTCAAAACGGTCAGGATATAAGACATGCAAGCTCGTGCATTTAGTTCGCACACCATTTTACATCGAAATATGAATATATATATATATATGTCTATCTATCTATCTATCTATCTATCTATCCATCTGTATGTCTATCTATCTATCTATCTATCTATCTATCTATCTATCTATCTATCTATCTATCTATCTATCTATCTATCTATGTGTGTGTAACCTCGCCACACCTCCAGCGCCAAAACCCTTGGCAACCATGGGCAATGACCCTACAACTCCGCTCCACCCCTGCCTGGCGGGCGAGCCCATGGGGCTGGCCAGCGCCGGCAGCGTCTGTGCCATGGCAGGGGAGGAGTAGACACGCTTCCTCGATCAAGGCACACCGAATCGATCTATCTTGCGGGCTTCGAGTAGGTTTCCATTTGTCTCACAATTAGCGACCCGACCAACTAGTTTTCCCGGTTTCCCTTCTCCTTAAAAACAGCCAAAAAGTGAAACCCAGAAAAAGGCACATGGGGATCCTTCAAAGTACCCAGAAAGCGAGTTCCCTTTGGCTTCTTTTGGAGGCCCAGTCGTCTGGCGGGCTGCGCCAATATTGCGGTTGATTCGCCCAACAATCCGCACAGCGAGCCCCCCTCCTTACCTTTAGCCTCTGAGTTCGACTTCTTGGTGGGTCTCTCTCTTCTTTGACAGTGCTTGGAAGGGAACCTGCGGAACCACACGGAAAACCCAAGCTCCATCTGGCGGTCGCAAGCTCCCCAAGCTCCGAGGTGCAGGATGCGCCCGGCGCGGGAGTCCAAGCCAAAGGTCCGCCACAGCGCGGTGTTGTCCACTTCCCGGCGCCAGGCGTCCTGGGCGAACCGACAAAAAGCCCTGGTATGAACCCCACGGTCCGTCACCTGAGTCTCAATCAAAACCGATCGGTGCAGAAATGGTGAACCCAGAAGCATGTAAAGAATTAGAAAGGCGGCAACTATTTCCGGCTGGGACTGCCCCTTACTAACCTTCATCTTCCCGGATTTTGATTGTGGCTCACCTGGGTATCCTTCAGTCAGAGGTTTCAAAAGAGGGGCCAGAGAATGCGGCCGTTGGATCCAGATCTGACCTAAAGAAGGATGAACCAAGTTGGACCGCCAGCAAGTTGGGCTCCCTGGAAATAGTTCGATCTGCTCAGGTTGCGAGAGAACGCAACCTGGCAAACCCTGTCACAAAAAAGTGTGAAGTTGCCAACCGAATAGGTTGTTCTGACCCTGGTGGCAAAACAGCCATGACCAGCGTCCTTCAAGAGCGCTTAAGCAATCTCGTGCTCCGCTGCTCTGAAAGCGTGAACAAAAACCAGACAATTTCTGCAACAAGCGGAAACGAGTCTGGTGTTGAACGTGTCTACAGAAAGCCGGTGGAAAAGACTTTTGAAAGTTTGAAATCTGTCTGTGCCAATTTTGTGGTCATGATATGGCTGGCAACCAAGGAAACCAACATGGCATGTATACAGAAAGGCCCTCTTTAACTTCGTGGATATGGACCCTCTTCCTATACGCTAGGCTGGGGACTCATGAATCTGAATTGGGTGAGTTCCCCACATCCCAAACCCTTATTTAAAAGGAATGGTCCAAACACTTCCCAAGGGACCTCTGAGAATGCCTTTGCTCTGGACCTGGATTTGGGCACCCCTTCGAGGCGTTCTAAACTATAGGGTGCTTCTTCCCACAGGATCTAACAGAACCTTTTGGGCGTGGACCCTTCTGATGTGCAAAATTTCTTGGATACCTCGAAGCCCCCGGCCCCGGGCTTCCCGACGGTCCGTGCCTCGTTGGCGCCCCGCAGGATGGAAGCGATCCGCTTCTCGCTGACGCTCCGAGCGCTGTCCTGAAAGGTGTTTTTTTTACGGGTGGGAAGGACACAAATCCGGACCAAAAATCACCCTCTCTACAAAGTGCTCCACGCCAGCTGGCAATGTTGACCCAGATAGATAAGCCCATGCCGTGAATCGCGGGCTCCCAAGAAAGCGGAAGGCCCACTACAAGCGGACACCCCCCCCATTCATCAAACAGGGGTGGGTTGATCCGTACCCAGACTGAAACCACATATCGGGATCAATTTCGTTGATGAGCAGACAAGACCCATGCACAAAGCAAATCTCACGGCCTCTCAGGCCTTACGAGTTACAGTGCTGCGTGCAGAGTCCACATCCGGGGCTTCCCCATTGACATCCCGCACAGAGAACACTCAATTAGAACTGGCCCCAAAACAGGCACCGGTGTCAAGGTGAGAAACCAAAAAAGCTGGGGTCCAGTTGTTGAGAAATCCCCCATATCGTCCAGGGAAAAAAAATAAATCCCTGGAAACATGCTCCGTCACATAAAGATGGGTATGGTGTCCACATGAACAAGGGACACGCTGCAGGGACACACTGTAGCTCCCACCCCACCCACCCACCCTCCCACCCGCCCACCCACCCCCCTCGCCTCGCCTTCTTCACAACCCTTGGCTTCAATATCACTGTGGAAATCTTCGGCATCTTGGGCTGCCCCTGCTGCAGCATGGCATTCCTCGCCTGGGCGAATCGCCTGTAGGCATTGGCTCTAGGGTTGCCATGCTCTCTTGAAAGGCCTTTTGTCCACTTCCATGATTGGTCTAGGCCCTCAAGAAATTGGCGCCCGTTCTCCCCTGCCAGTTTTCAAGCACCAGGTAACTAGCGTGGTAGTTTGCATTTCCGACCAAACAACCAACCAACCAACCAGCCAACGAACCAACCAATCAAACAACCAGCAAAGGGGGTTGGGCAGCTGATAGAAACAGCGCCCCTCTCGGAGAGCACAAAGAAAAACGAGCGCGCGCAGCCTCAGAGAGTTAAAGGATCCCGGCTGGGTCGTGAAACATGCCTGAGGTGGGGGGATGGAACCCCTAGGCAATTTTGGCCAGTGGGCGACCCTTCCCCCAGCATCCCGCACCTCCGACTTGGGCACGCCCTTCTTCTCCGATAGGAGCTCCAGCGCCACCTGAGTCGCTCAGTGTGGGATTTTGAGGGTGTCATTTTGTTGGACCCAGGAAGCAGGCTTCAAGTCTCCTCTTACAGGTACGGAAATCTGCTTGGCCTCTGTGTTTCCGTGCGGCTGCTCGGTCGGGTGGAAGGAAGTACCCTCCCTCCCGACTCAGAACCTCAGAACTCCTTAGGAGCACAGTCTTCCCAAAGCCGGGAACTTTTGTTGGTCGCTGGGAGAGCCCTTTCACGAATCAATCGAAAGCCTGCACCCATCTTGTGTCAAGGGGGACTGTCCCCGATTCTTGACCTCTTGCCCCCTGTGAATCGGTGGATCAAAAAGGCCCTGGTGGTGCCCCCCACTCTCCAAAGCCACTGAGGCACACAAGACCAAGCACGCGGACACCATGACAAACGGCCTAGGCCATGCAACGCGGACCTACAGAGCAGGATGAAGGCCTTGGGAGCGGGGCAGTTGTCCAGCAGCTCCACATCGAATGCAGCACAGAGCGCTGCCAGCGCGTCTTGGCTTGCGAGAGCGTGGCTCCTTTGCCTTTTCCGCGCCCCGGTCCACCCTTGCGCAAACGCGAACCAGGGTTTCCTTGTCCACCATCCTGAAGAGCGACCGCGGGGAGGAAAGCACACGATGGCTTGGAAGCGCTTGCGAGCATCAACGTAGGCACAGCTTGATCATCATCGTAGGCGTCAGCGCCATAGCGCTGGTCATGGTGTAGTCGCGTGGAGCAGGATGTCCTCGAAGGCAGTCTCGCTGACTCGATGGCCATCAAGGCGGTCAATCAACTTCCAAGCAGTGAGGAAGCCTAGGCGGTTGCTCCGCTGTGATGGCCCATCTTGCAGGTGATCAGTGATCGGTGATCGGTGATCCGAAGCTGTCGTGCTCACGGGGCGCATGGCGGAAATTCGTCCAGGTGTTTCCCTTGCGGCTCCTTCCGCTTAGTTGCGAAGGAAGAAGGCCGCAAGATGGCGCAAGTGCGCCCAAGAATCGTCAAGTTGGAAACCCTCCGTGGAATTTCCGGGTTTTTCGAACAAATTCGTAGCACAGGCCACCCCCCCCCTCCTTCCACCTCCTCCCCCCCCCCCCGCCCACCAGCCCATAGGGCCAAGACCTCGAACTGGAAGAAGTCGATGCGGCTGCAGGACTTCGGCTTCACCCGGTGGTCTGCGAAGATCAGGTCCAAGGAGGGCCCGTCCAACCTGCCGCTGTCGGGTTTGGAGCCCCAGGGACGGGAGCAACCAGTGGTTTGGAGGGTGGCGCCACCCATTTGCGCTCAAGAAGCTGGGGTTCAAACCCCACCACTTCGCAGTTTAACACAAAAAAAGAAGAAGAAAAAAAGAAAGAAAAGGGTTCCGCTTTTTGAGGGGAAATGCTCTGGTTTAGCGGGTTTATATGTGGGGGCCTCCGGGTTAACCCGAGGCTAACACTACACATCTACCCGAAAAAGCGGCCCTGATGCAAAACCGGCCAAGAGTCGGAAGGCTCTTGGCACGCTCACTGCGGACGGGCCGCTTCTTGTCTAGCAGGTTGCAGTCCATGCACAGCTTCCTCAGTCCCTGGCGACGGCAGTGATCGGCTTGGCCTTGGGGGCTTTCGACAGGACGCGGACTTGAGTCAGATTCAAAGGGCATCGCCCAAAGGACTGGACAAAGGCTTAAAGCTCAATTCCGTCGGGTCTCTGCTTCTCATATTGTCCATTTTCTTTGGTAAGACACCCTCGAAATGATTGCCTGAATACTGTAAAGGTTTTACCCGAGTGTCCCTTAACAAATTTTGACGCCTCTCAAAGCGCCCACTATAGCACACCCAGTCAGAACCTGTCGCCCACTGCCCGGGGCAATGCGGCCTTGCCGTCCATGTCCGCGTGGCCCACCCCGCAAAAGTTGTAGAACACCGCCTGCGGGGAGACTCGAGGCCAAAACACCAAACCGAAGGACACAAACGCACCACGACCCCGCGCGCCACGCGCCTCCATGCCATCGGAGTCGGCGGGGGCGAGGATGGCCTTGGCCTTGGTGGCCTCCTTCGGCCCCTGCCCCGCCTTGATCCTCGGCGAGCCGGGCGCGCGCGGCGCGCGTGCGGCCGCAAGGCGCTTTCTGGGCGCATGCGGACGAAACCTGCTGGCCTATTTAGGGGACCTATGAGGAAGCAGCCATGGTTGGCGCTGTTGAGAAGCACCTTTGGCCAAGCAAGCAAACACATGTCAAGCCTTCGGACCCCACGATGTCATTGTCGGAAAATGGCTGCAGTTGTTTGTTCCGGACGGCAATTTGAATGCCCGACAATCTTGCTTGTGAGTTTCTTTCAAAGGGCTCCATTTAAACCATACTGTGTTGCAGGGAAACCTTTAAGGCGAGAAATGCCACACATATGCGTATCGATATACACATATAATGTAAACACACATCTACACATATACATATAATATGAGTATATACAAATATACATATATGCATACACTCATATATGCATATATACATATATACATATATACAGTACATGCGTATACAATCTAAATACATGTCGTGTGTTTGTGTGTGCGCGTGCGCGTCCATGCGCAGAACTCCTCCAAGGCCGAGGCCATGCAGAGAACTCCTCGAAGGACACTTCCCCGTCCTCAAACAAACTTCAAGTTGACCTGGTGGATCTTTTTGGAGTGGAAAGACCAGTGGGTGTCCGGCGATGTCCCCTCAAAAACCGTCCACAACGGCTCCCTCAAAAAACGCACTCAAGTGAAAAACAACTCTTGGGAGGGCAGGGGTGTTACAAGCAAGCAAGCAAGCAAGCCAGCAACCAAAGCCGCTGATCCCAAGGCTGCAAAGCCCCTCCTGCCCAACCGAGCCACCCTTGCCCCCCGGCTCAAAACTTTGAGCGCACGCGGTTTGGGCCTGGCTCTTGTCCAAATCCGCGCAGACCTTCCTCACCTCGTCCTCTGAGAAGGTGCCGAGCACCTGTCGGGTTTCGAGAAAATTGACACGGGTCCCCGCGGTGGCATTGTCACATTGCTCTAAATTTGGGGCATCCAATTTTGAAGCCTCGCCCTTTTGATACCTGAAACTTCTCAACGTGTTCCTTGTACAAGTCGATCCGTGGTGGCGCACCGTGGCGTTTTGGACCAGAGGGCAAAAACAAGGGCAATGTGGGGACTTGTTTTTTCAGGTGCTTCGTTCCCAGCGGAAGGCCCCGGAAACGGACCCATATCGTGACACCTTCCCCGAAAGGCATCCTGGGAATGATTCCGTTGCCTTGTGAGGATAACCCTCCCAAACCCAAATGAAGAAACCTGAATAAGCGTCCTCTTACAGCTGTTCTCGTTTTTCCTTCTGAGCGTGCCCGGGGTGGACTTTTTGGGGTTCGTCCTCTGCTCTTTCTTATGTGGGAGGGCGATTGTGCTTCACCCATGTCTACCCATTCTTGAGGTTCATTCATCCCCGGTGGTGCGAAGCGGACTGCAATGGAAAACCCCAAGATGAATACAACCCCAGTTGGCCAAAATGGTGCGTCCGCTGTAACGGGGCACTCGGGGACCACCTCCCCACAATGATTCATGTGGTTGATTGATGCGAGTTCGACAGTCCCGGCAAAATCGCTCGTGCAGACTCAGGAAAGAACCTTGGCAACTACCAACCCAAGTTGCCGATGTCCAGAGAAGGCAAAACGGTTTGCTACCCAAACTCTCGGCAGTCAACTGCCACCTTGAGCGCTTTCCTCAGCTCCTCAATGTTCAAGGACCCGTCCCCTGTGGCGTCGTAGGTCTGGAAGGCCTACGCTTTCTCGAGGGAAACTGCCGAGTCTGAAGCCCTCCAAAGCTTTGGAGTCCCCCCCCCCCACCCAACCAAGGGACTTGCCTCGAGCTGCCCGTGAGTTTCCGCTTGTTCTCCTCAACTTGGCTTAGTTGCTCCTAATCCTCTTGGGGGCCGCTGTGGCAGCTCCCAATGGCCGCCATGTGAAATGCGGGGAATAAACACCCTAAATTAAAACACGCCTTTTGCCTGCAAGTTGCCTTGGCCCGCTTTTCCCCTCCGGTCTGGCCATGTGACGCCAGCTATGGCCGTAGCCAAGACGAACTCGGCACAGCAAAGTGTTAGCGCCGACGTTGTTGTGTAGGACACCCCCCTCCCCACGCTTACGCCATGTTGCGGAGCAGCACATCTTCAAGCTGGCGGCGTTTTTGAAGCTCCCGTCAAACAGCTACGTGTTTCCAAGCACTGTTTTTTTTGCGGAGCCATGCTGGCTGTCAGCATGGCCTTCACTAAAGCGGGGAATGGTGGCGTACACGAGCAGATTTGACATAAAACCAACAAACGTGAATTTATGAGGTACTCAGTCAATTTGCAGGGAAGTGCTCTCTCTCTCTCTCTCTCTCGCTCTCTGTCTTTCTTGCTGATTCTGAGCAGGGCATGAGGGGACGCTCCCAATGAACAAATATCTCGCGAGTCAGGTCCACTAAATCGGATCCGAGTATCCGCTAATCCACTGAGGGGCAGCGCATGAAGCGAGTCGGGTCCTAAGAAAGCGCGAGCTGCTCCAAAACACGCCCAAGTAGGTCCCGACCACCTCCCGACCATCCCGACCATCGCTGACTCGATGTATTTTAGGACGTGACTCGACACGCATCTAGCTCTGTCTCAAGTCTCCCTGACTCGCGGAGCTGACTTGAGGCAACATAGACCTGACTCAAATGAAGTTTCCCTGTGAACCACGTTTTGTGCAAAGGTTCGTTCCCTCACTTCGAGTGGATTGGCGAAAACATGTCCAAAAAATTGTTTCTTGGTCTTCCCAAACCTGTTGAAGAAGTCACTACAGTCGGGAAATCAGCTCCCAAATCTCGAAGGGCAGTCCCTGAGAACCTGCAAGCTCGGGCTTCCTCGCATAACAAAAGTCCGGCCTTCTTGATGCGCTCCTCCCGGGCCCCGCCCGTCTCCCTGGCATGCGTTAGAAATGCATGCCAAATAATAGCGCGCTTGGCAGGCCACGCTGTTTTTGAGGGTGCCGTTTTCGGTTTTGTTCAAATCCATGAGTCAGAGCCGACTCGCAAAGGGGAGCCACGGGAAGGTTATGATGTTAACGGTCCTTAATCCCCAATCACTAGTCACTAGTAGGCTGTGGCTCTCCTTTGCCATGGCTCTGAATCAGCGGTCAAAGCGGACGTAAAATTTGAGGGCCCCTCCTGTGACACACACATCTTTGGATCCCCAGCTGTGGCACACACACAGACACCGGAAAAAGGCACTCTGTTTTGGTGCTTCATTCTAAAGGGGAATTCCCCTGTGAAAAAAAGGGACCCATGGTGGCGTCCTCCAGCTTTTTGCTTTCAAACCTCCGAGCCGCGGCCCAAAGCCCTGGCTGCCTCAGGATGGCCCGCGTCACCACCTGGAGAGGAGCAGCAACTTGACGTTGGGTGCAGGGCCCTTCGATCAGTTGGTCCAAAAAGTCCATCAATCCAAGGAAGCCTGCAAAGGGACGAAGGAAGGAAACCACCGACTCCTATTTTGAGAACCCTGAAAGGTGGCAAGTCTGCTGCCCGCGGTTAGTTGATCGATCAAGACCCCGCCTGAGTAAGCTCGTTGGGGTGTTTTAACCAGTGCAGGAACTCCTTGTGCGACACCTTGCCGTCCCCACCTGGGCGCATTCCGCCAGCTGGGCGGATACGCCGGCTTGCCTTCCCCAGCTGCGAGCATAGAGTACTAATTACACAAAGGATTCTCGGAGAGTCTTTCGGCTGCCTCGCCGCCGTGAGGCGAGATGCAACTTTTCCCGTTTTGGGCCCTCCCGAAACTGTGGCAGGCGTGTAGATGTTATCATCCCGGACAAACAACGGCTTAGTACGAAGTGCAACTGCAGGCCATTCAAAACAAGCCACGCCCTCTATCAAGAACAGCGATTTGTAGCTGCCAGGTTTGGAAAAGTATATGTTTCATGCAGTTCATCCCAGTTTGTCTTGCAAAGACATTGTTTTTCCTTCGTCCCCTGTGCGGCCCTGGGTCACACTTCGGCAGCGAGGGAGCCGGCAAAAACAGGTGCTCTTCTTTGGATAGGGGGGCCAAGAGGAAGCCCAGCCATTCTGGGTGCCCCCTACTTGGGGAAACACCCTTCATTCTCCCAAGAGAAGCTACGATACAAGGGGCACTTTGCTTTACTTGTCGTCTGGCACGTGCCACGGGTGGGGGAACCGGGCGTTGGGCAACTTGCCCAAACATCTTTTGAAGGCAGTCTCACAACGTGGACTTCCCAAACAATCTGTCCAAGTACGTCGTGAGGACGGCTTTTGGCGGGTAAAAAGGGGTCTAAGTTGTACTCAGACCTCTGGGAGAGATCCTTCTCTGCCAAGAGTTTGAATAAATTGTGATTGGTCGCCTCGAAAAGTCGTTGGAAAAAAGAATGGGGGAGCGAGCTTGCCTTTTCACATCGAGAGCATCCCCATGTTGACTTTCGTTAAGTTCGGCCACGTTCAACACCACCCAATCACCCTGCCAAAATGAGCCGTGTCGACATAAGTGATTTTGTGACTGCCCCACATGCAACCGCTCTATGACATTTCATCGCCAAAAAACCGGGATGGTTCAAGGGTACCACAGAAAGTCGCAACCTGAAACCCAATGTCCAGGCTGTAGCCACGGCCCATTCTACCTTCCGAGCCCCCGCCCCCCCCCCTCCCCCCCCGCCACCCTAACACACCCCCAAAAATAGATAGGTAGATAGATAGATAGATAGATAGACACATATATATATATATATATGTGTGTGTGTGTGTGTGTGTATGTATGTGTGTGCGTGTATACATTTTTTAAACCCTGGATTCAATGGATTATTAAGGCCAAAGAATGACACCCATTTCGGCCTTTGTCCAGATCCTTGCACAGGCAGTCGATGTCCTTCAGGGTGAAGTCCGGGTCCAGCCTCAGAACTTCGACCAGAACTTCGCTCGAGGCGTTCGCGTTGCGAAGCAAAATCCTCTGAACGGGAACCCGGATCTAAGTTCCTCTGGTTGATCAATAGGGAGCCGTCCCTGGGGATTCACTTCTAGAGTCCCTCGAGGGGAACACAGCCCCTACGAGTATCTCGGTTTGTGAACCTAGACTTATCCCTTCCAAATCGATTCCCAAGTAATCCAAGGGACAACCAACCCCCCCCGATTGTCAAACTGGGGTTGGTTACTGGGGTTCCCACGACGGAGATTCCCAAATTGACCAGTAGTACGAAGAAATACTGCCAGTTCCTCTCATCCGATTTTAGTCCCGGAATCCTTTCAATCGATTCCCCCTACAAATTCAAGCAAAACACACTTTGAAAAGGGGGGTCTTTTGCCCTGAAGCTGAAGGAGCACAAAATGGGGAGACCCTCAAAAAGAGACGCACCCATGTTTTTGCTTCTCAGGGTGTCCTCTTTCCAACGACGATGGAAGTCGGCAAGGGGGGGCCTTGTCGAGATGGCATACTCTTCCAAAACCCCTGACCGTCCTCTAGGAAAGCTGTCCCTCTGCGCATTTGAAAGTTCTGACCCCCAAAGAGCAAAGGAAGGCAGCCTGCACCGCCTCTGTTTCTTGCCACATTCGGTGATCCTTTCAGCAAGGGACGTGGGTAAGCCCACCCATTAGAGCCGGATACTTGACCCGCAAACTTGGTCCCGGGTGTTCTCAATGCCCCTCCAGGGCCAAGTGAAAACCAGCAATCACATACCGAAACAAGTGACTCGGGGCCCTCAAGAGAGGGCCATTGGAAACTCAAAGGCCACTGGACGTGGGCCGAACTCTGGAGTCCTCTTTGCAAAACACCTCGTTCTGACTCATTGCTCAGACGCCACCGGAAAAGGGACATGGAGCGACTGTGGTAGAAACCTTGCTGGTTCGCATGCTTGGCGAGCTACCTCTTAACAATCAGGGAACCCTGCACCCTGAAGTTTTAGAACGTTCCTTTTTCCAACCATAAAAACACGTATTCAAAGCAGAGCCCCTGTGACTTCGGGTGTAATGTAAGGTGGGGATCATCCCCTCAGACCAACTCGAATCAATCAAGGCTCGAATCCTCGCCATGGCAGAATGAGACTTCGAACCATCTGTGGAACCCACCAAGCCCCCGGCAAGGTTTGGGCCACCCCTGGCTTCTTGCTTGATTTGTTTCTTCACTGGTACAACGGCTTTGCGAAGGCGAGCTGCGCGCGGAAGACCCGAGACAACTCGTCCTTGTCCAGGTACCCACCGCCGTCTGAGTCAAACCTCCGGGCAATTGGCTGGCCTTTGGAGATGGCTTTCGACCCCCAACCTGTTTTGGGGGACACATCTACAAGGCAGAGCGGAGGTCAAAAAAATGATTCGGGGTTAGAAAACCAGGGTCCCCAAAGTCGGTGGGATTTTCTTGGCAACGGTGAACTTAAAATTTAAGAGTTCCCCCCCCCCCCCCGCCATTTTGTGGAAATTGCGGGGCCCTTTCGCCCCCCTTCCACACAAGTTACATGCCTTACCCGCAACAAGCTTGAAGGAACCCCCGCCTTGCTTGGAGGCACATGGCAGATGGAGGGAGAATGCGGCACCCCTTTATTTGCAAAACAAGGGGAGGTGGTCAGAACGAACACGGCAGGCAATGAACTCAGGGAAGAATCAAGGTTAGAAGGAGCGCGTATACTAAGAGAAAAACTTGTCTTAGCAGAAGGGTTTCCAGAAGCTTTCTGGAGGGCCTCCAGATGTCTCTCCAAACATTTACACCTTACACATGAGCAAGTGACAAAATGATTGGAAGTCAATTGTTGGTGTCGGTGGGGGTGTGTCAGAATAGGGGGACCCCCGCAATATTGAGGTTCCTGTTGGGTTCCTTGAAGAAAGGGCGCCCTTCAAACAACTTCAAAAAACTCGCATGGAACAACCCAAACACATAAGCCCAGCCCGACCTCTGGAAGACCTCTCTAACTCTGGCGGACCTGAGCTCATCCACAGCGCGCTCGAGTGGATTGCGCCAGCGTCTCGAAAGGTCTGAATGCCGTTTGAAGCCCCAGCAGACACAGGCCAACCAACCACACCTCCGCAGTTGGTCCAGTTTTTCTAAAAGGGGGGTTTGGAAGCCATAGACTTGGCCCTTTCATTGATTCGATGGGTGCTTTTCACAGCGGCCTAGGACTGTCCTGCCACGCTAAAACCACCCTCGGCTCAAAACGCCTCACTTTTTGTTGCTGGCCGTGAAAAGAACCCGAATCTAACTTCCGAGCCTGCTGAGCTGGCGAGGTGTTCCGCTGGATTTGTCCAATTCGGTTGTGGTTTATGTCAACTTCCGCTAACCATACCAATCACCGCTAATTACCACCCTGCTCTAAATAAGGATCAATTCCTTTCTTGCGAATTCTGATTTTATATTCGTTCAAATCCGAACTCGGCATAGCGCGACCATGAAACTCTGGGGGCCCTGGGCATCCCCCCAAGCCTGTGGCCGGAAAAAAGAAATGGGGCCCAGCCAATGAAACCAGCCAAAGGTGCACCTGGCTTTGTTCGAGGAATGTCGAGATACGGGTTCTGGAGTACTGGAAACATGGGAGTTACTTACCACTACTGTCTTACGCATGCGGATTGCAGTTGCATATCAGCCTCCATGCCTCCAAACACCCATACTGTACTTGAAAATGCCGTTCGTTTGTCAAAACATGTGGGCCCGGGAACATCTGCCTGCATAGTTCTCAAGAAGGATCCTTCCCATGCCTGGTTTACCATTCACATGCAATGCAGTGTTGATGCAGTCTGTCTGTCTCAAGGAGTCACGCAAATCCTCAAAGCAAAGAACACTTTTCCTCTGGTTCGTAGGCGAACCGAGGTTGGTCAACTGGCGACCTGCACCAGCACCCAAACTGCATGCCCCCTAGCACCTGCCGTCAATCTTGCAAGAAGTCGCCGAAACCGTCACCATCTCAAACAGCACCCCGCACAGCACCCCCAAACAGCACCTGCACCAGCACCCCAAACTGCATGCCCCCTAGCACCCAGCCGTTAACCTCGCAAAACACGTTCTCCTCTTTATTAGAAGTTCGAACCCCTAACATAACCCCCTCAAAAGGAAGTTCGCTTTAACTTGGCAAGGAGGTGATGATTGAAACCACCCTTCCAGAGTGGAAGAGCCCGAAACCCTTCCACTTCCAAGCCGAGCTGCATGGCATCCCCCGTCTCCTTGAGGATGACCTTGTACACTTGCTCCGCTGCGGGGCCTCGGATGCATGCGAGCAGAAAAGGGATCCCCAAGTGATGGCCCCACATGGCCTAAATCGTGGTGAGCTCGTTCTACCCCTGAATCGGTGAGATTGAAAAATCGGGGAGATTGAATTGGGGAATTCGCCCCGGCGTATCCATGGCCAGGCGTGACAGTATCTGGCTCCAAACTTTTTAACAAATAACTACATGTGCGTAATCTATCTTGTTGTCTGCGTGATCCAAGCTAGTGTGTGTCTGTGTGCCTTGCTGCATGTGTGTGTGTGTGCCGGTGTGCGTGCGCATGTTTTCTTGGTCCATGAAATCTGAAGCTCCGACCTGCTGAGTGCACTGGACACTTTGCCATCCAAGTCAGCCCCTTGCCTTGCGGTCAGAGGCGGTATTCACAAAATGACACCTGCCGAAAGCTTCTATGGCCACTCTCATTTGATTTGGGCAGGACGTGGCTCTGTCTGAAAACAAGGAGCCTGTTTGGATGGCTTAGGGAAAGCAAAGGAAATCAAGCACAAATTTGTCTTGATGCCCCAAGGCGTCCGAGGCGCTGCTTTCCCTGATCCAAGCCATGAACTCCGCGCGAGACACCGACCCATCGCCGCCTGGCGATGGTTGCTGAGTTTCGCGTCCGGAAGCGCCCACAATATAGTTTGAACCTTTTGTTTACCACTACAATTGTCTTTCCACAAAGTGCACATACCCATCAGGGAACCAAACATGCCCCCGAAGCAAGTGGAAAAGCCTTTCCAAGAGCACTGTATCCCACCCCTTTCCAGCTTCCATGGCTGTTGGAAAACGGGCGCGGTTGGGTGAACCTTGATGGCACCATTCCAACCAATTTTGGTTGAACCATCCCCTTTGCTTGCCCCAGCAGGAATTCAGACATCTACTTTACTTTGGTGCACGTAGTGGTTTGGGACTGCGGGATACCCTAGACTTCTTGTTTGCTCAGGGGGATTCAAGGGGTGTCATACCTCAGGCTTTGCAAAAGTCGACAGGTCCGATGTTTGGGGCGACAGTGGGGTCGTTCGGGGGCCCAAATTGGCCTTAAGCCCGTAACAAAAGAAACCCTCAAACTCTAATACTCCAAGAGGTATCCTCTCCTTTTCTCAACTCGGAACGGAAAAAGCCAAGAGATTGCCTTTTTCAACCTTTGAGAGAGGGACCCCAACAAAACCATCTCGGGTTGTCAGGTCTATTCCCGCCCCAAAATTGACTCCCTGAGCACGAGCAGGTACTGGCCAAGTCCTTAGCCAAAGCGCCCCCGATCACTCCCAACAGCAAACTCATCTAAAAGTTGACTGACAATGCCCAAGTGGTACTGGTAAGGCCCGGCCCAGATCCTGGGCCTTTGTCCAGCTCGTGCACGAACTGATTGATCTCCTTGGAGCTGAAGGACGGGCAAAGCGTCCTGAAGACCGACCTCAGACCATCAGCGGCTCTCCTTCTATCTGGCGGAGAGGAGGGGAAAAGAACTGCCAATAAATCGTGTACCCACTGCTTTTTGAGCATCGAGCGTCAGTCAGTTTCGCATTGCTTCTTTGCGCTTCAGCCCCTACATGGTGAGATCAAGGGAAGTGGTCCCAGTTTCTGACATTGAGTTGTCTTACCGAGACCTGTGCGAAATGCCAACTTTGGATTGATCATGAACTAAATGCCAGTTCTCATTTTGCTCATGGAAAGCCAGCTTGTGTTGGGGGATTCCGCTGATTGAGGGGGTCCTGCTTCGAAGAAGGCCCGCTCGTTGTCCTAAAGCCGAGCATGAGAAATTACAGAAATTGTATCCTAGGGCTTCGCCATCACCAGCTGCGCTGGCCGGTCGGACAGGTGAGATGGGGAGCACTAAGAAGACCTCTGTTTAGGCGGGACCTTGTTTCAGAGCCTGACCTCCGGACCACCCTAGCGCTCTTGCGAACCCACACTCACAAGAGGCTGCAAGGTTGCTTGCCCAACCCCCCTGACACTGAGCATGTGTGCCTGCTTGCGTCCGGCGCGCGCGCGCGCCGCATGTGTCTCACACCGAAAGCCCATCAACCCCCCCAAAAAATGCATCCCCGGCAGCCAGTCCCAGCCCCACAGAGACCGGTGGAAAAAATGCAGAAAACACAGTATGCGCGACGTTTTCCCGCACAGCGGCGGCGGCCGCACTTGCGCAAGAAAAACCGCCCACTCGATCGCAGACTCGCCCGCCTACCGCCAAAACCTACTCTCAGGGGGCCATTTTTGAAGGGTTTGAGCGATGCAGGGGAGACTGTCCGGGGCGATTTGCACAGTATTTACAGTGTTTTTTGAAGGTCGGGCAACGTGGCATCAGCACCAGGGAGGCTGGGGATGTTTTGGGGTCCAAGTGTTTGGGCCGGCCTGCGTGCAGGTGATGCAGGCAATGCTGAGGAGGAGCTTGGGGTGCAACAAAACACGTCAGAGGTATACTACGGGTAGGGTTGCCCTCGCTCTTCGAGCTCGAAGACACACAGCGCAGCTGGATTCTGGAGAGGGCGCGCTCAAATGTTGATTCTAAGCAGCTCCATTGATATGGAGAACCCTTCGAAGGGCAAATTTCTGAGTTGACATTAGGAGCCCTGCTCGACTTGATTCAAACCCGTTGTTTTGGTACCTTTATGTTACATTGATTTATTTCATGTGACATCTACATACTCATTTTATGTTGTGTTATGTTTGTGTTCTTGTTTTTTGTTCAATTTGTTTCTTTTTTCGGGGGGAAGGGAAACTTGCTGTCTGACACTGATCAACCAAAACGTGGCTTCTGTGACACAAAGGGTGGCAGGGTATCTTGCGTGCCCCCTTTGAACATCACCCACCATTTCAAGGAGCCGAAGAGCCATACCGTATTCTGATCAGCCCCAAGGTAGGCTTAAACCCACGGGGTTGGTTTTCAAAAGGGGGGCTTCTGGGCTTGGTCTTCTTCGGGATGACAAAAGTGGAATGCTAGGCTTTGGGTTTGGAGTGCACGGCGTTCTGAGGGTAGGGGGAAAGTCTTTGGGGGGGGGGACCTGCAGAAGGTTTTTTCCAATGGCAAGGGTAAGAGTCTGTTACTGCTTCCAGCGCCGCCTTCAAATGGCCCTTATACTGACCTCTTTTTCTGGAGGTTTCCCAAGCCAAGCCCAGCCGAGCCACTGCATCTCCTGGCGGTCCAACGAGCCGCCCCCATCCTTGTCGAAGCGCTCGAAGACTTGCCGGATCCTGGCGCCAGGTGGTGCTGGTGGATTCTGACATTCTCTATGACGTATACCCTGACAAAACTTATTAGGAAAATGTCTGTCTTCTTCAACATCGGCAAGCATTCTGACCAACACTGATTTTCTTGCTGACACACATTCAAAAACAGCTCCTGACATACAGTCTGGTACATCTTGTGACATTTCCCCTGGCATTTATCCTGACGCACATTATGTCACGCGTTCTGACATGTTCTCCATAAGTTCTCACGTAACTTCTGACAAATAATCTTACTAACCCACCCCACAAAAAGCCAAGCCACCCTGCATACTCCCAGCTGCACACTTGCCGACATGTGGGCAGCTGGACAGAGAGCGGAGGCAGAGGAGGAGGAGGAGAAGAAAAATGGCTGGCGAAAAGATGAACGGAGACTGAGAAAGCAACAAAGAGCGCGCCCCAAAGCCATCCAGGAGCCGCAAGCCACCAAGGATGCGTCGCCATCACACCTGTGATTCTCCGGGATTGGATCCTGTGAATGCTGACGCCACTCAAGCTGCTGCAAACCAAGTTGTCAAACAACGGAAAGCGCACGCCCTCTGTCCCGGTCCTGCCGAGTCCCGATCGGCGCAAGTCTGAATTGAGGGGGAAAAAAGAACGGCAAAAAATTGGCGTCTTTTTTGGTCGACATGTGCGAGGAACCATCATCGCACCGCCCAGCTCTTTTTCTCTTGCGATCTGTCTCCGTCTCTGCACGCGCTCATCAGGACACGACCGAAGTCGCACTCGAGGCGCCGGAGCCATAGTGGACGGAGTCCCTATCGGGGTGTCGCGCTCGAAATTCCCGGGCTGAAAAATGGTTGGCTCGGAACGTACAACTCAATGGCTGAGCGAAGGAAAGCAGCGGCTCCGTGACGATGGAATCGTCGCATCGAGTCCAGGCGTTTTGTCTCAGCAGCAGGAATACAAGAAGCCTGAGCCACCCTACGACCTGCCATCCTCATCCTCTCACAAGAAGCAGGATCATCAAGATGAAGAACCAGCGCAGCCAGGATACAGGATGCGACGACCTGCACCATCCATTGAGCAGGAAAGAAAGATTTATCCTTTCTCGAAGATTCCTGTTATGTTCATGTTCCATGCCACCTATGGAAACTTGTTGGAGAGCATCCTGGATCAGGGAATCAAGACAGGAGCGAGTTCAACCTCACGCAAAAGAATTCATGTTTGCCTGCATCGACGACATCATTGTCAACGATGAACCATCCGAGGCAGCGCTGACTCATGCGCCACAGGACGTGATGCACTCGTGACCCTTGCCTTTACCAAGAACAATCCGTACTCTTTCCGACTCTCCGAGGAACGAACTGTATTGACAGAGCATACCATCAACACCTCGGATATCATTGCAGCGTTTGATGCAGAGGGTCAGATCCTACAGTTCAACTATCGGATCCTGAGGAAGAACTTCAGCAAGGGAGACAAAGAGATGTACGAGACCAAGGTCACGGAGTTCGCTGATCACTTCTTCACACACGTCAATGCCAACAAGACAAACAAGAACCTATCAGAGAAGGAGTCATCCATCAAAATGGAACCTACGGAAGGAAAACCGTCAAGCAGAAGGAGTCATCCATCAAACTGGAACCTACGGAAGGAAAACCGTCAAGCAGAAGGTCATCCTGGCTCCACAATCTGGAAAACACCACGATTCATCCAGAAATTCGCGGAAGTCACCTTGGACCGGGACATGACCAAGATCGATGCAGCAGAAGAGCTCAAGACAATTCAGGAGAGGGTACAATGCCGATCCAAGGAATGTTCATCCAGATTTGAATGAAACTGAGCTGAGATCCTTGGCGCATGTGAATCCCGACACCAACTTTGATGAGGAAGAGGAAGAATTTTACTTCCGTCACCAACACGAGAAGCCGACAAGGGAGGAGTGCAGGGTATCCAATCAGACTTCCGATTGGACAACGAACAATTTTGGACAGCCGTGAAGTGAAATACATGTCGATGGAGGAAAGGCCACTCATCATGATGATGCTGCAGAACAGCGCCCACATCATTTGCCTCAACGAGGCCGATGCTTTCCTTTATCCGCAAGATGAGAAATTGCAGGACCTCATCAAGCTGCTCATCAAGTTCGGTTACAAGGGCATCGTTCTCAAATCCTGGTCAGCAAGACCAATCGCATGCTTTGTCCAAGCTGGAACACAAGCCAGAGTCGAGCTATTGGCACGACACATTTCCACCAAAAGCCAATACTGGGGTACGACATTCAGAATGTTCAGATGCTATTTTGGAGTCGAGAAGGATTGCACTGATTCCGACCTCGACATTCCCACATCCGACTGCTACCACCGGGCCGGACATGTTTGTCGATCAGCAGAAGTACATTGGAAGGACATTGCCACCACGCACTGAAGTCCAAGGATGTGGCAAGCACAAGGAGATCGTTGTCATCCACACAGAGTTCAATAACGAGATGCGCGGCGCCCTCCGAAAATCAACGGAAACTCCATCCATATCCTTCGACAGTCGACACGTGACAAGGGCAGACCTCCCATTCGCAACCATTGGCGTGTTCCATGTTCATCCGAACATCACCCGTAATCCGGAATCATGCCCCTCGTCACCGAGCACCAATGCGATGCGATTGCAGGTGATGCGAACAAGTCCGCCAATACCTACAGCAAGCTTCAATGTCTACAATCCCGACCAAGGCCTCATCAACTACATCATCCAGAAATATCAGAAGACATGTTTCAATCGTACGTCATCACCTTTACACGAAGACTGGATCCGGATGACATTTGTATTTGGATGGAGAAAAACAGACATCCAACAGCAGTTCCGCAAGTCAGGGGTTGAATATTTGACTGAAGCACAACTGACCACCATGCAGGACGACTTTGAGAAGGTCATCGCCGACTACCAGGTCTCATCCAATGAACGCATCATGCACATCACCAATGAGACGCTGATGCTGGTCACTGTGATTCCCATTCACACAGCCCACTGACGCCGCGCAGCAAACCGGGAGAGAAACTACACTCGGACCAAGGAGTTCCCCAAGGGCAAGAAATTCGACCCGGAGGGACTACGATTACGGCAGTCAGTCTGACAGCAGCAATGATAAGCTATTGCGACTGCCACCTTTGGCAACCATCCAGACCTCCTTTGGTCTTCATGATTTGCCAGGACGAAAATTCTCAGAAGCTCGATTGCGAGAGTTCAACTACGAATCACGACCAATTAATCCTCCCCGACGTCACGACTATTTTCAGTCAGAGATCAATAGTTTCACCCCGATCCCGCATGTACAAAGAGTTTTGCATTCTCTTTTGATACAGCTAGGTATCTCGCATCCAAAGTACAAGCCGTTTCGCAGTTGTCACCAGAACTTTTCATCCGCGCAGCAAAAAGGATGAATCTAGTATTTCAATGGCTACGGCATAAAACAAAGGCTACGGCCGAAGGCCAAGAATCCAAGGGTTACATGGTATAATTCAGCGCTGGAGATCAAAAGAAGAAATGTGTGTCTGTGTTGTGTTTGCTTTATGTCTTGATCTCCATGCAACATTTGGCTCAAGGCCCTTTTCTTGTACAAATTGCATATTCATGCAATAGCGACATTAAAGGACTCTTTGCAGGCCGCTTACAGTGAAACACAGCAATCAAGGCCAGCAGGGACTATCCAGTCTCTTGCACTCCATAGTCATAGTGGCAGATTGGCTTTCCTGCCGAATAGATCCAGGGACCACATATACGATCCTGTACTACCACAAGGTATCCGTTCTCTTCTGGGATAAGATACTCACCCCCCTTCGAACTCTCAACCGCTTCAAATTTCCGTTGCAAGCATCCTAACCACAACCACAAAACTACGATAAAACAGTCCGATCAATCGGTATGTGGTATGTGGCACAAAGTCTTGTCATCGCAGACTCATTGCCCCCGTTACATACGGAAATTAAGGTGCTAAATTGGCCGGCAACACCACAAATGTATCATTTCCTACACAAAGATGCCACCAGTCAGTCCGCAACAGCAACATAACGTGTGGAAACACTGCATTCATAAAAAGGGGGGGTGTGACGCACAAAAGGACAACGGGACCAAAAATTCCTGGTTTCTTCAGCCGGGCCCTCAATCCGAGGCTAGCATTGTAAGATTGCCCAAAAGGGGAAGGTCTCTTTCGGAGCTCCCGCGCCTGTGCGCCAAGCCCTGCTCTTCCGCCATCCGGACAGAAAGCGCGCGGATCAGCGGAGCCGATTTTTTAGGGGGACAAGAGGAGGGCGCTTGACAGATCGAATCCAGCAGAAACATCTGCGTTTCTTTGCTTGACGGTGCTTGACAAGTGTCCTCACTCTAACCCGGAGGTCTTTAAGAAATCCAAGGGTCGTTCAACACATGCCCCCTAAAACAACAAAAGCTGGGCCACCCGTAGCTGGTTAGCACACGCTGCAAAGCTGGCATGCTGCGAATGGGATTGCATGCGTTTGGACAAGCTGCAAGAGAACCCAAACCTGCGGGATGGCGGAGCGTCACATGGCACCCGCACAAAAGACAGGGTCCCTGATAAGTCACTTTGAAAAACCCCATGACTGGCTGCTGCAATGAGCGGCTTGCGATACCATCTTCTTCCGATTGAAGCCGCGCAAAGGGGTCTTCGGACGTGCTTCGCGGCTTTTAGCGCGTGACTGATTCGATCCTTGAAAGCATGCATGCGGGCCGGAGACAAAACCAACATCACCAGCTGGCCTGCCCAGGTGCTTCAGCCTGCTGGCCACCTTGAAGCAAATAAGGCAACAACTTTTGACAAGAAAAGAAGTCGTGGCCCGTCGGGCTCGAAACGGCAGGCCCAAGACATGATGCGCATCCCCGAAAAGGAAACCACCAAGAAAGTTCCTGCCGCCGTGGCAGCCGGGGTCCTCTCCACGGGGACAACAGTGAGGCTTGGCCTTGATTGCTTTGAGCCTTTTGACCTTGACCGCAATCCAGAACACAACATCCTTCAGGATCACATTTTCGAAACCTTGCTAAAACTGTGCTGGTCCGGAATCAATTTAACGATAATGTTGGCTCCGCCCTGTGAAGAATATTCCAGGCTAAAATTGCGCCCAGGAGGACCTAAAGCCTTACGCACTCCAGTTCATGAACGGAGTGCCGGGCCTCACAGCGGCACAAGGCAAAACACTCTAGCAAGACTATTCATGAACGCGGCAGAGCCCTTATTCATCGCGGTAGTCTCAAAGGGAGACATGGGCATTTGGGAGCAACCACCTTCCGCCATGCTTTGGCTTGAAGAGGCAAAATTCCAAATGCTCCAGGCGCACCAATGAAGGAAGGAGGGAAGGAGGGAAGGAGGGAAGGAGGGAAGGAGGGAAGGAGGGAAGGAGGGAAGGAGGGAAGGAGGGAAGGAGGGAAGGAGGGAGGGAGGAGGAGGGGAAGGAGGGAAGGAGGGAAGGAGGGAAGGAGGGAAGGAGGGAAGGAGGGAAGGAGGGAAGGAGGGAAGGAGGGAAGGAGGGAAGGAGGGAAGGAGGGAAGGAGGGAAGGAGGGAAGGAGGGAAGGAGGGAAGGAGGGAGGAGGGAGGGAAGGAGGGAAGGAGGGAAGGAGGGAAGGAGGGAAGGAGGGAAGGAGGGAAGGAGGGAAGGAGGGAAGGAGGGAAGGAGGGAAGGAGGGAAGGAGGGAAGGAGGGAAGGAGGGAAGGAGGGAAGGAAGGAGAAAAAAGGAAGAGTTATCTCAGGTTTTGATTCTTAAACGTGTTGCGGTAGAATGCTGAGGGCGGTGCTTGCTTTCCATTTCTTCCTGTCATAAAACCCAAAGGTCTATCGTGGGAGCGTGTAAGCACCTTATTCAGCCCAAGAGGTGCATTCGCCTCATCGCCGCCGTGGCTACTGGGCACAGTCTTCCTGCGAACACGTCAAGGAAAAACCTGTGGGCAGGCAGACCTGATTGCTTCGGTGGCTCATGGACCACAGCAAGTCCACATGAGACAGCCCGGATCCTCCGCCGGCTAGGGATTGGGCAGTTTGAGACTTCGCCGGCTCCGCCTTGCGAGCGTTGTTGCAAACACAGCCTTTGCCCGCCCAGCAGGTAAGGATGGCACACACGTGAGCAAAAAGGCCCATCGGATAGCGCAGGGTTCAGAAGTCTGGTTTGAAAGACAAGTGCTGCCGCGGGAACATCCATGGCAATGTAAAGACAGTCTGCGTGTGAATGCAAGGCAACGCGGCGCAGCAATGCCGGGTCATCAAGATGCCAGCATAGGGCTGGACGACACCTTGCTCCAGCTGCGCGCTGGCCCGCTTGTTCTCTGCCGGCGGCGTAGGGCAAGGCTTCAAGGGCGGCCAAGGAGCTCGGCAAGTGCAATGTGATCTGGAGGTTCTTGGCCCAGACTGGATCAAGACTAAAGGCGTAGTGGTCATAGTCCACCCTGGTCGCTGAGGGCGGAGGGCGATGGCCCTCAAAGCAGAAACGGATACCACCAAGAGAAAACCTGTTCCTGGTGCTCAGGGCGGGGTTCGTGAAAACCCGAATCTCGCGAAGGCCAAGAGGCGATTCCGCACACCCAGCATGGCGCCACCATGAAGCGGCGTTGTTCCTTCAGGCGAGCCAGAAAGGCGCAACACAAACTCAAGCGAAGAATGTCTCAGTCCTGTGTGGACTTGGTCAAGCCTGCACCCAGGCTGTGTGCAAGTGACACGCGGTGTCCGAGTGGTTGCACCTGACATGCAATGTCAGATGATCCGCGGGGGGATGCAAAATTGTCCCGACGGCAGCAACCCCAGCAGGGGAAGCGATTCGGCCTTCAGCCTGGTTTCTCAGGGCTTGCACCTGACACGCGGTGTCAAGCGCATGCAACACCCAGCGGGAAAATGCAAAGCTGTCGAGGGCGCGGCCCTGACTGCAAGGCACAGTATTCTGCCGAAGCTCCGCGGGAGCCTCTGTGTGAGTCTGAATGCTAGGATCACAAGCCTAAAACGCAAGGGAAAAGAAAACCTTAAGCGTCTTGATCATAACCCCTTGGAAAAAGAGCCCTCTCGCGGGATGATCAAGCCTTGCTGGATCAACAAGGTCTGCAGGGCAGGACAACGCCACAGGCAATCGGCACAGCTCAGTCGCTGCGACCCTTAGGGCCACCCTGTCGAAAGTCTTCGCCCGCACCACAACCTTCCATTCGACAAGCACTCGCCCGTATAGGCAAGACCCTAACCTCAAGGGACTAGCTCCTTCTCGCACAAGCCCCTTCTTTCAGGTGCCATGCTGGGCCTTGACTTAAGCAGACACATAGCCCGCACTTGCTGCCCCGCCTTCCCTGGCCGTGGGGTGCGAAGACACCATCGATGCCGTCCACACAACCATCGCCAGGAACTACCTGGATTTGGATCCGCATTAGGTTTTTGTGTAGTATAATTGCCTTCTGCCTTGTAGTCCTGGCAGCATTGGAAAGCCTTCGCGCACTGTCTTGCGCCTTGGACTATGTTTATGTGCAGCTGGCCTTCGCAGATCTCGTCAGACTTGCCTGCCTTTAGGTAAAAATGGGTGTCGGACCCGCGCCCTCGCCCTAAGGCAATGCTGGCATCGCTTCGCCCTGACGACCGCAGCGGCCCGCAAAAGCCGAGGCCGCCCTTGCCCGCGCCTCCGGTCACGCCCTCGGTCACGCCTTTGGCGCCGGGGCGAGTGTGCCCTGTCACGGAGCCGCCCTGCGATTGCTCCCGCGCCACGGAGCTCTTTCCCTATCCCCCCCTCAATCGCGGCTACCTATTTTTTAATATATATTTTTTCGAGAATGCTCGTTGCAACAGCACGAGTCGAGCCTCCCGAAACCCTGCCAAAGAGGGACCAACGAGCAACGAAAGCTGAGACGACTGAAGGCTGAAGGAGGGCCGGTGTGGAGCGAGTTCGCGCACGAGCGAGGCTGTGGAGGAAGCTGCGCGCTTCAGGGCTCCACCGGCCCCCGACCCGGATGGCAAGCACAGCAAAGCGGCACCGCTAGGCCCCGCGCAGGGCGGCACCGTCAATGCGGCCAGCGTGAAACCAATGTGGCGTCGACCGCTACTTGACGTTGGCAACGACCGCAAGGCGTGAGTTGACCGACCGTGACTCGAGCGGACCCGAGCCGCCGCTCGCCAGGGGGCAACCGCGGTCCCGTAACAAGCCAGCCCAAGCGCACGCTGCGCGGTGGGCGCTCAAGGGCCCAGGCGTCATTCCCCGCGCGGCGAACTGCTTGCATTCAGGCTTCCTATCACGGCCCGAGCCTGGAGACCCTTTCAAGAATCCACGGGATGTCTGTCGTGAGTCCGTCCGCCTTTTGGTCTTGCCACCTGGCCCCCCTGAAGCGTTGGCGCTGTCAATGGGTCGCATTATTCCTTCGACGGCGGGGCCCGCCCGTCTCCTCGCAAGGTACTGGGCCTAGAGACGCAAAAACACATACAAACACACACAAAAACACACAAAAACACACCAAAAACACAAAAACACAAACACAAACACACACACACACACACACACACACACACACACACACACACACACACACACACACACACACACACAGACACAGACACAGACACAGACACAGACACAGACACAGACACAGACACAGACACAGACACGAACACGAACACGAACACAAACACAAACACAAACACAAACACAAACACAAACACAAACACAAACACAAACACAAACACAAACACAAACACAAACACAAACACAAACACAAACACAAACACAAACACAAACACAAACACAAACACAAACACAAACACAAACACACAACACACACACACAACACACACACACAACACACACAACACACACACACACACACACACACACACACACACACACACACACACACACACACACACTTAAACTCCAGATGGAGGGTGCTAATCTTTCGAGTACAACTGATGAGTCTCGAGTACAACTGATGAGTCTAAGTTTCGGCTGGCAGGTCACTTGGCTTCACTCTAGAAACGAAAACGTTACCCGAAAGAACAAGAAGCACAAACAGCGCCGCAACCAAGGGGGCCAAAAGGACATTCAGAATCACGGAAAGCAGGTACGCCGGATTGATCAGATCCGGTATCCCATGACTGAGGTAGCTTCGTTGAGCGCGGTCCCTCAGTCATGCCGCACTCCCCTGCTACTAATAGTGGTGACAGGGTATTCTGTCACTCCGCACACACACGCCCCTCAGTAAGGGGCGAGAAGTCTCTTTTTCAGCAGGAAGATCACATGCTCAACTTTGTGTCCCTATCGTTTGCCAAAATATCCACCGCGGCGAGG